GTTTCTAGCTCCAACAGTGTAGTAATATCTAGCTAAATGCTTATGTTTCTAGCTCTAACAGTGTAGTAATATCTAGCTAAATGCTTATGTTTCTAGCTCCAACAGTGTAGTAATACCTCAAATCAAATCAAATTTTATTGGTCACATGCGCCGAATACAACAGGTGCAGACATTACAGTGAAATGCTTACTTACAGCCCTTAACCAACAGTGCATTTATTTTAAACAAAAAAAAGTAAGAATAAAACAACAACAAAAAAAGTGTTGAGAAAAAAAGAGCAGAAGTAAAATAAAGTGACAGTAGGGAGGCTATATACAGGGGGATACCGTTGCAGAGTCAATGTGCGGGGGCACCGGCTAGTTGAGGTAGTTGAAGTAATATGTACATGTGGGTAGAGTTAAAGTGACTATGCATAAATACTTAACAGAGTAGCAGCAGCGTAAAATATGGGGTGGGGTGGGGGGGGCAGTGCAAATAGTCTGGGTAGCCATGATTAGCTGTTCAGGAGTCTTATGGCTTGGGGGTAGAAGCTGTTGAGAAGCCTTTTGGACCTAGACTTGGCACTCCGGTACCGCTTGCCGTGCGGTAGCAGAGAGAACAGTCTATGACTAGGGTGGCTGGAGTCTTTGACAATTTTGAGGGCCTTCCTCTGACACCGCCTGGTATAGAGGTCCTGGATGGCAGGAAGCTTTGCCCCAATGATGTACTGGGCCGTACGCACTACCCTCTGTAGTGCCTTGCGGTCGGAGGCCAAGCAGTTGCCATACAAGGCGGTGACGCAACCAGTCAGGATGCTCTCGATGGTGCAGCTGTAGAATTTTTTGAGGATCTGAGGACCCATGCCAAATCTTTTTAGTCTCCTGAGGGGGAATAGGCTTTGTCGTGCCCTCTTCACGACTGTCTTGGTGTGTTTGGACCATGATAGTTCGTTGGTGATGTGGACACCAAGGAACTTGAAGCTCTCAACCTGTTCCACTACAGCTAAATGCTTGTGTTTCTAGCTCCAACAGTGTAGTAATACCTAGCTAAATGCTTGTTTCTAGCTCCAACAGTGTAGTAATATCTAGCTAAATGCTTGTGTTTCTAGCTCCAACAGTGTAGTAATATCTAGCTAAATGCTTGTGTTTCTAGCTCCAACAGTGTAGTAATATCTAGCTAAATGCTTGTGTTTCTAGCTCCAACAGTGTAGTAATACCTAGCTAAATGCTTGTGTTTCTAGCTCCAACAGTGTAGTAATATCTAGCTAAATGCTTGTGTTTCTCGCTCCAACAGTGTAGTAATGTCTAGCTAAATGCTTGTGTTTCTAGCTCCAACAGTGTAGTAATATCTAGCTAAATGCTTGTGTTTCTAGCTCCAACAGTGTAGTAATATCTAGCTAAATGCTTGTGTTTCTAGCTCCAACAGTGTAGTAATACCTAGCTAAATGCTTGTGTTTCTAGCTCCAACACTGTAGTAATATCTAGCTAAATGCTTGTGTTTTTAGCTCCAACACTGTAGTAATATCTAGCTAAATGCTTGTGTTTCTAGCTCCAACAGTGTAGTAATATCTAGCTAAATGCTTGTGTTTCTAGCTCCAACATTGTAGTAATATCTAGCAATACACAAGCTGTCCCCGACAAAAACAAAAATCTTGGTCGACCGAAAGTTGTCTGTTTTTTCGACCAATCGATTGGTCTAAATTTTTTTTACGTGTATTTTTCCATATATAGACACACCCTATGTGTTTTTATAAAATAAAGTACATATGCATTGAGCTTGTCTGATGCTTTAAGCGCACTGTTTGATGAAATAAGACACAATTTACTCAAGAGGGAGCCAGAGATCAAGATAACCAGAAGAAAAAATTAACTTAACCTGACCATCCTCCTCCCACTCTTATTGGCATTCTCAGATTCTGCCGTTCCTCTCCTGAAGTTGCCGGTAATAGGCTACACGAGGAGTCGGCAACCTTTCTCATGTGGAGTGCCAATTTATCTTACCATTTCTACCGATCTGCGTGCCAGTTATGGTTTTCATATGCACAATTTTGTGGAACAAGTTTCATTTAATTTATAATAACGTCTTCGTATCTCAAAATCAATGTCATGTGGTCAATCAAAATTCTATTCTGGTTAGGGGAAGCGGCCGAGGAGACCGACGACTGGTTAGGGGAAGCGGCCGAGGAGACCGACGACTGGTTAGGGGAAGCGGCCGAGGAGACCGACGACTGGTTAGGGGAAGCGGCCGAGGAGACCGACGACTGGTTAGGGGAAGCGGCCGAGGAGACCGACGACTGTTAGGGGAAGCGGCCGAGGAGACCGACGACTGGTTAGGGGAAGCGGCCGAGGAGACCGACGACTGGTTAGGGGAAGCGGCCGGGGAGACTAATGACTGGTTAGGGGAAGCAGCTGGGGAGACTAATGACTGGTTAGGGGAAGCGGCCGAGGAGACCGACGACTGGTTAGGGGAAGCGGCTGGCTGCTCAACGCTGTCACACCGGATATTGGATGAAGCACTCATTCTGATATGACCTATTTGACATCACTCTGAACTTTGATATTCTATTGGTAGGATGCGTAGAGATGCATTCTGAGATGGTAGTGACCAGACAATGGGTGATCCACTCAGGCCTCTCCTTTATAACCCCCCAAACATTTGTTTTATGGTTCGTCACGATTCAGAAATAACCTTCCCACCCCCTCATTTTACGCTGCTGCTACTCTGTTTATTATCTATGCATAGTCACTTTACCTCTCCCCGCATGTACATATTACCTCAATTACCTCGACTAACCGGTGCCCCCGCACATTGACTCTGTACCGGTACCCGCTGTATATAGCCTCCCTACTGTTATTTCCCATTGACTCTGTACCGGTACCCCCTGTATATAGCCTCCCTACTGTTATTTCCCATTGACTCTGTATCGGTACCCCCTGTATATAGCCTCCCTACTGTTATTACACATTGACTCTGTACCGGTACCCCCTGTATATAGCCTCCCTACTGTTATTTCACATTGACTCTGTACCGGTACCCCCTGTATATAGCCTCCCTACTGTTATTTCCCATTGACTCTGTACCGGTACCCCCCCTGTATATAGCCTCCCTACTGTTATTTCCCATTGACTCTGTACCGGTACCCCCTGTATATAGCCTCCCTACTGTTATTTCCCATTGACTCTGTACCGGTACCCGCTGTATATAGCCTCCCTACTGTTATTTTATTTTACAGCTGCTCTTTAATGATTTATTATTTTTACTTATCCATTTTTTACTTAACACTTATTTTTCTTAAAACTGCATTGTTGGTTAAGGGCTTGTAAGTAAGCATTTCACTGTCAGGTCTACACCTGTTGTATTCGGCGCATGTGACAAATACAATTTGATTTGGGTCCCCTGTAGCTCAGCTGGTAGAGCATGGTGCTTGCAACGCCAGGGTTGTGGGTTTGTTTCCCACGGGGGGGGCAGTATGAAAATGTATGCACTCACTAACTGTAAGTCGCTCTGAATAAGAGCGTCTGCTAAATGACTAAAATGTAAAAATGTAAATTTGATTACCTATTTTGAGATCAAAACGGCAAATATTGCAGAAAAGTGATGACTCTGCGTCCCACACCCCCCCTAACCCTCTGACACCCCCCCTAACCCTCTGACACACCCCCCTAACCCTCTGACACACCCCCCTAACCCTAACCCTCTGACACCCCCCCTAACCCTAACCCCAACCCCCTGACACACCCCCCTAAACCCTCTGACACACCCCTAACCCTAACCCCTGACACACCCCCCTGAACCCCCCACCACCCCTAACCCCTAACCCCTGACACACACCACCCCTCACACCCTCCCTGACACCCCCCCTAACCCCTGACACACCCCCCCCTAACCCCTGACACACAACCCCTAACCCTCTGACACCCCCCCTAACCTCTGAAACCCCCCTAAACCCTGACACACCCCCCTAACCCTCTGACACCCCCCCCTAACCCTCTGACACACCCCTAACCCTAACCCCCTGACACACCCCTATCCCTAACCCTCTGACACACCCCTAACCCCCTGACACACCCCCCCTAACCCTCTGACACCCCCCCTAACCCTCTGACACACACCCCCCTAACCCTAACCCTCTGACCCCCCCCTAACCCTAACCCTAACACACCCCTAACCCTGAACCCCCTGACACACCCCCTACACCCTAACCTCTGACACACCCCCCTAACCCTCTGGATACGACCCCCCGAACCCCCTGACACCCCCCCTAACCCCCTGACACACCCCCTAACCCATCTGGACACACCCCTAACCCTCTGACACACCCCACTAACCCTAACCCCAACCCTCTGCACACCCACCCCCCTACCCTCTGACACCCAACCACTAACCCTAACCCCCTGACACCACCCCTAACCCTAACCCTCTGGCCACCCCCCACCTAAACGCCCCCCCTGACACAACCCCCATAACCCCTGACACACACCCCCCCCTAACCCCCTGACACCCCCCCCTAACACACCCCTAACCCTAGACCCTCTGACAACCCCCCCCCTAACCCAACTTGGGACACCCCCCCCTAACCCCCTGACACACCCCCATAACCCTCTGACACCCCCCCCCCTAACCCCCTGACAACACCCCCCTAACCCTCTGACACCACCCCCCTAACCCCCCTGACACCACCCCCCTAACCCCCTGACACCCCCCCTCTAACCCCCTGACCACCCCCTAACCCACTGACACACCCCCCCTAACCCTCTGATGACACCCCCCCCTAACCCCCTGACACAACCCCCTAACCCCCTGACACCACCCCCTAACCCTCTGACACACCCCCCCCACCCTCTGACACACCCCCTAACCCTCTGACACACCCCAACCCTAACCCCCTGACACCCTACCAACCCACACCTAACCCTACAACCCCCTGACACACACCCTAACCCCTGACACACACCCCCTAACCCTCTGGACACACCCCCTAACCCTCTGACACACACCCCTAACCCTCTGACACACACCTGGGTAACTCCACCCCATTTCAACCGTATGAACTCCTCAGTCATGTTGACTTTCCCTGAGAGAGAAAAGAGAGTTTCAGTTTTAGTAGAGGAGTTTCACCCTATAACACACACAGAAAGAGCGAGAGAGAGAGAGAGCGGAGAGAGAGAGAGCGGAGAGAGAGAGAAAAGAGACGAGAAGAGAGGAGGAGAGAGAGGAGAGAGAGAGAGGAGAGAGCGAGAGAGAGAGAACGCGGAGCGAGAGCGATAGAGAGAGAGAGACGAGAGAGAGAGAGAGAGAGAGAGAGAGGGAGAGAGAGAGAGAGAGAGAGAGAGCGGAGAGAGAGAGAGCGGAGAGAGAGAAGAGAGGAGAGAGAGACAGACAGAGCGGAGAGAGACAGACAGAGCGGAGAGAGACAGAGAGCGGAGAGAGAGAGAGAGAGAGAGAGCGAGAGACAGAGAGCGGAGAGAGAGAGAGAGAGCGGAGAGAGAGAGCGCGAGAGAGATCGTACCCTCAGGGAAGATGTGTACCCAGTCTCCTCCATTCAGCTTCTCCAGAATAAAGTCCATGCCTTTCTGATACACACCATCACCTAGGAGACACACCAATATATATGGAGACAACCCCTTAGCAAAGAAACATTAACCTTCACCCCTGGACACACCCAGAAAAACATGAACTTCACCCCTCGACACACCCAGAAAAAACATTAACCTTCACCCCTCGACACACCCAGAAAAACATTAACCTTCACCCCTCGACACACCCAGAAAAACATTAACCTTCACCCCTCGACACACCCAGAAAAACATGAACCTTCACCCCTCGACACACCCAGAAAAACATGAACCTTCACCCCTCGACACACCCAGAAAAACATGAACCTTCACCCCTCGACACACCCAGAAAAACATGAATCTTCACCCCTCGACACACCCACATGCTCACTTCCTCGCCTGCACACACCCACACACCACAGGAGGCTGCTGAGGGGAGGACAGCTCATAATAATGGCTGGAACGGAACTAATGGAATCGCATCAAACACATAAAAAACGTGTTTGATCCCATCAGGGCCTAAAATTAACATCCGCCACCTGCCAAATGTGGGTAGATTTTGGCATTGGCTGGTAAGATGTCTATTTCACCAGCCACGTTGGCGGGTGGTCAGGGCTCCACAGTGCGAGCATTTCACTCACATTTGTGAATAAAAATACTGAAGTATGATTTACATTTTACATTTTAGTCATTTAGCAGACGCTCTTATCCAGAGCGACTTGCAGTTTTTTAGTGAGTGCATACATTTTCATACTGGCCCCCCGTGGGAATCGAACCCACAACCCTGGCGTTGATCACATTTATAGTAAAATAAATGCTGCAGTAGATGTTTTCAAAGTATTTCTGCTTTTTTGTTTCATAGCTGATAAAATAATCTCTCTCACCTAGCGCTGCAACACTGCCTGGCTCGGGGCTATCTCACCTCGCGCTGCAACACTGCCTGGCTCGGGCCTATCTCACCTCGCGCTGCAACACTGCCTGGCTCGGGGCTCTCTCACCTCGCGCTGCAACACTGCCTGGCTCGGGGCTCTCTCACCTCGCGCTGCAACACTGCCTGGCTCGGGACTATCTCACCTAGCGCTGCAACACTGCCTGGCTCGAGAAGAGCTGAGTGAAAGATACTTTTTTATAAGCGCTGTGCACAGGCATAAAAGTTGTGGTCCTCTGTAGCTCAGCTGGTAGAGCATGGCGCTTGTAACGCCAGGGTAGTGGGTTCGATCACCGGGACCACTCATACGTAAAAATGTATGCACACATGACTGTAAGTCACTTTGGATAAAAGAGTCTGCTAAATGGCATATTATTATTATTATTATTATTTAAAAGTTAGAAATTTACTTGAAACTAAAGTCTACTGAAGTGAGACTTTGTCCTTGTGTTTCTTGGCTATTTACATTGTTTTGTTCACAAGCCAGGTTGTTTTTCTATGTTTGAGTTTCAACTGCTACGGAAAAGACGACAACGCTGCGGCTTTCCCACTAGGTGGAGCTGTGACTGACTGGAGCTGGTGGGAAAGGGGAAATTACAAGTGGCAGCACAATAGTTGTTTTCCTCAATCTACTCACAATACCCCATAATGACAGAGCAGAAAGAGGTTTTTAGACATTTTTGCAAATATATAAAATAAAATAAAAACTGAAATATCACATTTACATAAGTATTCAGACCCTTTACTCAGTACTTTGTTGAAGCACCTTTGGCAGTGATTACAGCCTCGAGTCTTCTTGGGTATGACGCTACAAGCTTGGCACACCTGTATTTGGGGAGTTTCTCCCATTCTTCTCTGCAGATCCTCTCAAGCTCTGTCAGGATGGATGGGGAGCATCATTGCACACTATTTTCAGGTCTCTCCAGAGATGTTAGATCGGGTTCAAGTCCAGGCTCTGGCTGGGCCACTCAAGGACATTCAGAGACTTGTCCCGAAGCCATTCCTGCATTGTCTTGGCTGTGTGCTTAGGGTCATTGTCCTGTTGGAAGGTGAACCTTCGCCCCAGTCTGAGGTCCTGAGCGTTCTGGAGGAGGTTTTCATCAAGGATCGCTCTGTACTTTGCTCCGTTCATTTTTCCCTCGATCCTGACTAGTCTCCCAGTCCCTGCCGCTGAAAACCATCCCCACAGCATGATGCTGTCACCACCATGCTTCACCGTAGGTTTCCTCCAGACGTTACGCTTGGCACTCAGAACAAAGAGTTCAATCTTGGTTTCATCAGACCAGAGAATCTTGTTTCTCATGGTCTGAGAGTCCTTTAGGTGCCTTTTGGGAAACTCCAAGCGGGCTGTCATGTGCCTTTTACTAAGGAGTGGCTTCTGTCTGGCCACTCTACCATAAAAGCCTGATTGGTGGAGTGCTGCAAAGATGGTTGTCCTTCTGGAATGTTCTCCCATCTCCACAGCGAAAGTCTGGAGCTCTGTCAGAGTGACCATCGGGTTCTTGGTCACCTCCCTGACCAAGGCCCTTCTCCCCCAATTGCTCAGAATTTACCACAGGTGGACTCCAATCAAGTTGTAGAAACATCTCAAGGATGATCAATGGAAACAGGATGCACCTGAGCTTAATTTCGAGTCTCAAAGCAAAGGATCTGAATACTTCATTAAATAAGGTATCAGTTTTTTATTTTTAAGAAATATGCTAACATGTCTAAAAACCTGTTTTCGCTTTGTCATTATGAGGTATTGTGTGTAGATTGATGAGAATAATAAAAATAAAAAAATCCATTTTAGAATAAGGCTGTAACGTAACAAAATGTGGAAAAAGTCAAGGGATCTGAATACACTGTATGTAACAAAACAGCTGTAAAAACAAAAAAGGCTATTTTTGTCCTCTGAAGAGGAGGGGTGGTGGATGGGTTAATATATTATTATTATTTTAACACTGCTACTAGTCGGACTCTCAATCTCACAGGCACAAACATGACTCGAGTCACGTTACCACGGTAAACTCCCGCGCTTAAAGGGGCAGGTGAATAATTTGTCTCATCTGTGACTCAGGTCACAATAATTGAAATGAAAACAATATAATCACATTACTTGTTACTAGTAATACATTTGTTTTAGAAACATCAAGAACTTATTTTGTATTTTGTTGGTTTGATTTTAGCGAAACGTTTATTTTATTTTTGCTGGTAATAAATCTGAGCCTGTCCTCCCCAATTAAGGTGTCACCAACCTCCTGTGCCACACAGTCCCTCCCTCTCTGCCTCCCATCCTCCCTCCCCCCTCACCTCTGCAGACGGGAACACACTTCCCTCTGCTGAAGAATCTGGAGTGGAACTCTTTGGTGAAACAGATGTCCGACGCAGCCGGAGTCCTATGCAAATCAGAAACCAGACAGATCACATACTATCCAAACAGAAATCAGACAGATCACATTCTGTCCAATCAGAAACCAGACAGATCACATACTGTCCAATCAGAAACCACACAGATCACATACTGTCCAATCACTCGGTTTGTTATTTTCGATTAAAACAAAAACGCTATTCATAAATACGAATACAGAACTTGATTTTGCGTGGATTCCACGACACGGTTAGCTTTTAACAGCTAGGACTGCTATTTATTGTCCCGGAATCCCGCATAAGAGACAGGTTGAAGCCTGCTTGACAGAGCCGCTAAGCTGCTAGCCATCAAGCTAACGAAGTTGGTACCAGATGGGTTTTGCAATGGAGCCCTCTTTGTCCGGAGAACTAAATGAACGGTTCCAGCATTGTAGAAGCTGTATCTATTACGCTTTGTTTCGGGACAAACCGGATCACTCAGAGTTCCAATGCGGCAATTGTTTACTTGCTGAGGATTATAGTCTTGAGGTGGCTTCCTTGATCACGCAGGTCGCCAGCCTACGTAAGAAATTGGGGAAAACGCAGAGTGGAATGTTTACATTTTCTACGCCGGTGGCTGGACGGCGTTCGCGCTTCTTGGATGCATCTCCGCCTTGTCATTTGTCATTATCCAACTGGCCGGTGTTGCCCGGAGCTCCCCCATCTGATAACGCCGTCGAAGGAGCACAGCATGAGGAGAAAGGCAATTAACGTTGGTCGCATGTCACGAGCCGTGGAAGCCGAAGACAGCGACCTCCCTCAAAGCAGTCTACACTCCCAATGAGAGGCCCGGAGCGGATTCAAACAACGAATAGTTTCACCGTCCTGGAGCCTGATCTTCATCGCTGGGGTTGCCTGTGTCTGCGGCTGCGATTTCAAAGTCGACAACCTTCCATCCCTGCTCTGGATCGAGCGGGGCTTCTCCATCTGTCGGAGGCCTGCATCCTGCTAAGCGTGGGAGTGGGGGGATTTCCTCATCCTTCTCGCCAGCCGTTTTTGGGCAGCTCCATGTTAAGAAATGTGACCGTTCCTGGTGCAAAAACAATGTCCTATCCCGGTGCTCGAGTAAATGACATTACCAAGCTGCTCCTGAATGTACCAAGTCAGGACATGGAAATCAATTCAATCGTAGTCCATGTGGGTTTTAATGACATTATGAAGGGCAGCTCTGAACAGTTGAAACTGGATTTTAAAGAGCTGATTGACTCTCTGCTAGACACTAACAAAATACCCATCATATCTGGCCCTGTGCCATCTCTGAATCGTGGCATTGAACACTTTAGCAGGATTCTTTCTCTTCACAACTGGCTATGTGATTATTGCAGCTCAATGGGTGTAACTTTTGTTGACAATTTCGATAGCTTTTGGAAACAAAACACGTTTTATAAGGAGGATGGGATCCACCCAAATCATTTGGGTTCCTGGATCCTTGCACAGCATTATAAGGCTGCGTTGAGACAATGACTTAGCAATGACCCAAGCCCAGCTCAGCTAAACGCAGAGTTGTCAAATGCTTCAGCAAATGTACATTACACCAGGGGCGTCGGTAGACACAATTTAAGTAACCTAATTTATGTCCCTCTAACTGCCCTGAATGCCTCTGCTGATCCTACAGCTATTGTATACAGTAATCATGTGCCTAAGAACCATATTTATACTGTTAGCACTGAGCCGGTGTGCCCGGGGAGGAAGGCCACTGTGTGCAGCTCACCCTGCACTAACATAAATAACATGAGCACATCTACTGCTGCTAAGCTTCCCAGTAAAGCAATAAAAACAAGAAAAATAATCAAGCATCCCAGAAAAGTGTTAAAAATAACCCACGTTAACATATGTAGTTTAAGAAACAAGGTTCATGAAATCAATAATTTGCTAGTAACAGATGACATTCATATTCTGACTATCTCTGAAACTCACTTAGATAATACATTTGATGATACAGTGGTAGCAATACAAGGTTATAACATTTACAGAAAAGCTAGAAATGCCAATGGTGGAGGTGTTGCTGTTTATATTCAGAACCACATTCCTGTAAAGCTCAGAGAGGATCTCATGTTAAATACTGTTGAAGTAATATGGCTACAGGTTCATCTGCCTCACCTAAAGCCCATTCTGGTGGGAAGCTGCTATAGACCACCAAGTGATAACAGTATCTGGATAACATGTGTGAAATGCTTGATAATATATGTGATATCAATAGAGAGGTATACTTTCTGGGTGATTTAAAATGTTGACTGGCTTTCATCAGGCTGCCCACTCAAGAGAAAGCTTCCAACTGTAACCAGTGCCTGCAACCTGGTTCAGGTTATCAGTCAACCTACCAGGGTAGTTACAAACAGCACAGGAATTAAATCATCAACATATTGATCACGTCTTTACTGATAATGCTGACATTTGTTTGAAAGCAGTATCCAAATCCATTGGATGTAGTGATCACAATATAGTAGCCATATCTAGGAAAACCAAAGTTCCAAAGGCTGGGCCTAATATATTGTATAAGAGGTCATACAATAAGTTTTGTAGTGATTCCTATGTTGTTGATGTAAAGAATATTTGTTGGTCCGTGGTGTGTAATGAGGAGCAAACAGACACTGCACTTTACACATTTTTAAATTGCTTATTCCAGTTACTAATAAGCATGCAGCCATTAAGAAAATGACTGTAAAAATGGTTAAATCCCCGTGGATTGATGAGGAATTGAAAAATTGTATGGTTGAGAGGGATGAGGCAAAAGAGATGGCAAATAAGTCTGGCAGTACAACCGATTGGCAAACGTACTGCAACTTGAGAAATCATGTGTTATTGGCAAGATTATCAAACTTAGGCATGACATGCCAGCAACAATTGCTGACACTACATATCCAAGTATATCTGACCAAATTATGAAAGACAAGCATTCAAATTTTGAATTCCGTAAAGTGAGTGTGGAAGAGGTGAAAAAATTACTGTTGTCTATCAACAATGACAAGCCATCGGCCTCTGACAACTTGGATGGAAAATTACTGAGGATAATAGCGTACGATATTGCCACTCCTATTTGCAAAATATCAATTTAAGCCTACTAGAATGTGTGTACCCTCAGGCCTGGAGGGAAGCAAAAGTCATTCCGCTACCTAAGAATAGTAAAGCCCCCTTAACTGGCTCAAATAGCTGACCAATCAGCCTGTTACCAACCCTTAGTAAATTATTGGAAAAAATGGTGTTTGACCAGATAAAATGCTATTTTACAGTAAACAAATTGATAACAGACTTTCAGCATGCTTATAGGGAAGGACATTCAAAAAGCACAGCACTTACACAAATGACTGATGATTGTCTGAGAGAAATTGATGACAAAAAGATTGTGGGGGCTGTTTTGTTAGATTTCAGTGCGGCTTTTGACATTATCGATCATAGTCTGTTGCTGGAAAAACGTATGTGTTATGGCTTTACACCCCCTGCTATATTGTGGATACAGAGTTACCTGTCTAACAGAACACAGAGGGTGTTCTTTAATGGAAGCCTCTCCAACATAATCCAGGTAGAATCAGGAATTCCCCAGGGCAGCTGTCTAGGCCCCTTACTGTTTTCAATCTTTACTAACGACATTCCGCTGGCTTTGAGTAAAGCCAGTGTGTCTATGTATGCGGATGACTCAACACTATACACGTCAGCTACCACAGCAACTGAAATGACTGCAACACTTATCAAAGCTGCAGTTCGTTTCAGAGTGGGTGGCAAGGAATGTTAGTCCTAAATATTTAAACTAAAAGCATTGTATTTGGGACAAATCATTCACTAAACCCTAAACCTCAACTACATCTCATAATAAATAATGTGGAAATTGAGGAAGTTGAGGAGACTAAACTGCTTGGAGTAACCCTGGATTGTAAACTGTCATGGTCAAAGCATATTGATACAACAGTAGCTAAGATCGGGAGAAGTCTGTCCATAATAAAGCGCTGCTCTGCCTTCTTAACAACACTATCAACAAGGCAGGTCCTACAGGTCCTAGTTTTGTCGCCCCTGGACTACTGTTCAGTCGTGTGGTCAGGTGGCACAAAGAGGGACTTAGGAAAATTGCAATTGGCTCAGAACAGGGCAGCACGGCTGGCCCTTGGATGTACACTGAGAGCTAACATTAATAATATGCATGTCAATCTCTCCTGGCTCAAAGTGGAGGAGAGATTGACTTTATCACTTCTTGTATTTGTGAGAGGTATTGACATGTTGAATGCACCGAGCTGTCTGTTTGAACTACTGGCACACAGCTCGGTCACCCATGCATACCCCACAAGACATACCACCAGAGGTCTCTTCACAGTCCCCAAGTCCAGAACAGACTATGGGAGGCACACAGTACTACATAGAGCCATGACTACATGGAACTCTATTCCACATCAAATAACTCATACCAGCAGTAAAATTAGATTTAAAAAACAGATAAAAATACACCTTATGGAAGAGCGGGGACTGTGAAGCAACACAAACATAGACACATGCATACAAACACATGATAACATACACACTATACACACGCGTACACATGGATTTTGTGTTATAGATATGTGGTAGTAGAGTAGAGGCCTGAGGGCACACAGTTAATATGTTGTGAAATCTGTTATGAATGTATTGTAATGTTTTTTAAATGTATAACTGCCTTAATTAAATACAAATACTACACAGCTCATTCAAATGATCAAACCTTGATGATTAGTTGATTATTTGAATCAGCTGTGTAGTGCTAGGGCAAAAAATTAAACGTGCACCCCTTGGGGTCCCGAGGATCGAGGAAACCCTGGTCTAAGTTAACAAAGTAGCTGATTTATGTCAAAAGTTGTATTTACAGTGAATGGAATGTTGGAAGTGATGATGTCACAATGGGGAGATTTAGAATGTAGAAAATATATCATAAAGTTGTAACCAAGCAACTCAAGTGAGACCAGTCTGCACGAGGAGTAGCGTGCTAAAGAAGAAGAACGAAGATTTAAGAGGCAGCTTTTTCTTCTC